GCAGCCTGCACTTGCAGCCTGCAGGTGTTTCCCGCTCAAATAAAATAATTATGCTTTATTGAAGGTTTAATATATAATTTACTTTAAACTACTTTAGTAATGCAGAAGAGAAAGTTATTCCTAATCCCGTTCAGTTTTTTTTTAATTAAGGCGATTATGATTTTTTTTTTGTGTCTACGTTTGATTGCTGACTGACCCCACATCAAGATTGTTGTACTGGGGCAGAAAACTAACCAGTCCTTGCGGCCTTTTGCACCTGTTTCTCTTTCAAATGTACGATCAAGAAAATGTTCAATAAATTTTAAATTCATATATAAAAAAGTAAAACTGAATACCCCTGAGCCCTAAGATATTCAATTGAGAAGCTGACGTCAATAAGCATTAGATTAAACAGTCTTTGCAGAGATCAAAAAACGACCCCCCCCCCCCCCCCCCCCCCCTTGACAAGTTGCTACGAGTACGAATTGATCATTTGAAGTAATATGCACCCAGCGTTTTAGATTATTGAAGACGATAATTTATTCCTCAAAACCAACTATTGAAAGCCACTCGGTAGAAGCATACTGCAACATCATAATATAATGTTGCGGGTGACCAGGCAGAGATATTAAAAACATCGCCTACCTTTCTAAGAACTGTTGGGTTGAATGCAATTCCAAACCCGATTCTTTTTGTTTCATCCGTGAAGCTTGCAGTTGGTATTTCCAATACGCGGCACAAAGTGTCCAAAACTAAAATTGTCAAAACAGCCTAAACCACAATTGACGAGTTCCATTTCAAATGCTTAAGATTCATTCAGAGTTCGAGATTCATCACCGTTACGAAGGAATGTAAAAAATTAAGAATGACTGAATGCCTAAAATTTATATTTTTTTTAATTACGAGTGTTGGTGGTATTAAAGTAATCTCTAATACTAAAGTAATGACAGTGAGCAGGGAAAAGTCGTAGGGACTGGATTTTTATTATTATTTTATTAGTCTCGTTTTTTTTATTAGACCTAAGGTCAATGACAGCGAGTAGGTTACACCATCTTATTGTAAACCTTTCTGACACATAATTTTTACCTTAAACATATCTAGCAGCTCCATAGAAGTGCCAAACATCCTTAATCGATCACTGCAAAGATATAAACCATTGGCCACGATTTCAACAATCAATAATGTGTAAAAGTGTATTTTCTTTATCCACAGTTCCTTGTAGTCACTCTGGTAATTATCTCGTTCTGGCACAGCGGGGAAAGATGATGCATCATTACAAGTATGAAAAATTTCTCTGATGCTAGAGGCGCCTGCGGGCGCAGAATACGGAAGAAAATTTCAGCGCACCAGTGAACTGAGCTATCAAGGCACCATGTGACCAAAGCACGGAGCTGTCAAAGTAGGTACGTATGTTTATTCGTGATCAACTGAAATCTTCCGAGCACCTGATGGTGAAAACAAAAGACTGTGAAAGGCTGACAAAATATGCTTTTCTGGCTTCGCCAACCCTACAAGTTCATCGCTATCAAAATCACCAGCGTACGAGCGTAGCTCTGCGCAATGCTTTGTTTGCGGAAGCATTTGACAAAAAGCGCGCTCTAAAGCTATATGCGTTCAAGCTCGTGCCTTCCTCAACATTGCACAGAACTTAGACGAAAAACTGACCATTTCTGTGCAAGTTCGTACTTTTACAGCTTCGTGGTTTGGTCGCAAGGTGCTCTGAACGTTCCGTAGTGTCACAAATTGTCGACAGTACTTATTTTGAAACCTTCGTGATTTGGCGCGATGACACGGAAGTAGATACAGGCAGCAAGTTAGTCACAGCAATGCAAAATTTTCACAGCGCCTAGTGGTCAAAAGACGGAGCTATTAGGAACGTAAGTTGTATAACTGTTTAACTGCAACCGCCAATAATTGCGTGCTACAACACATTCCATCATTATTCCGAGAAACATGAGACGGGCCACCGAACTTACCAGGCGCCATTACTATACTCCGTTCACGATTAAGCTGGCGTCACGGTGGAACCTACGTGCTCGTTGGATCAGCCATCCATCGATGCCTCACATGATCACGCTTCCGCCCATAACCACGCGAAGATCGATGGTCAGGCAATGAGAGGCGTGCTGTTGATTGGTCCGGCCAACTCCTTCCACTGTTCTGACAGCTTGGCGGTGAACAGATTTTACAAAAGATAGCAGTACGGAGAAGTAATGTTAAGAATGCCACGCTATTTCTTCAGAGCAAACAGAGCACTAGGAAGTAATGGAAAGACCAACGCGCAGCAGAGGCTAACGAAGGAAGCATACGATGACATAAAGACATATACGACCATAAATACATTTGAAACGTAATAACCTATGAGTCAATAAAACAAAGCGATGGAAGCGTCCAATAACGATTCGAGGGTACATTAACTTTTTTCTTTGTTTTGGAATCTGTTCAAAACAGTGCGGAATTTTTGCTTCCCTTGCCTAATTGGCCCACCGTTGAATGGGAGGGTACCTTTAACGAACACGAGAACCACAGATACGTGCCACAGTACAATGTCGGTCATTGTGGAGAAAGAACAGGTGGAAGCGCTGCGTTTTAGAACCCGCGTCTCAGGTACACACCGGACAAAAGTGCAGAAACGCCTACACTGAACAGGACTCATAGCCGAAGACGACCATAGTGACTCCAAAATGCAACACTTGTTTCACAAACACATCAACCACGTATGACCACTCACTATGCTAGCACGACCAGTTGGGTCGAGCGCTAAACACTGTAGACCACCCACGGCGGCAACCACCGTCACCAGAAGAAAGCATCCGCACGTCACAACAATCGTAATGAACTTGGGTAAACTGTAGTCAGTAACTTATTTCATGGCCTCCTTTATACCGGCCAAGCCTGGCCGATCGGCAAAACAGGTCACCAAATATGAAAGGGAGACTTTGGCGCTTCTTCAATTCCACCCAGAAGAAAGACTTGGGGAGGGGGATCTGGGATCTACTACCGATGATATTTTGCGCAAGCCTGGTCTTCCAGTTTGTATTGGCTTATTGCGCCATGCCACGGCAGGGGACCCTCTCCGGATCACGTTTGTTAGAAACACGTTTCGCGACGTCGTTACACGGAAAATGGACGCACGCTATGGCACGGCGCGAAACGCCAAGGCACTCGTTTAACGTCCTCTCTTCCTCACTTGTTTACGGCAGCTACAATCTACTGATGTGGGTGGCGGCGAAGTGCAGGGCCCTTTCCGTGTAGAGGAGGCCATGTTCTCCTCTACACGCTTAATTACTCGTTCCGCAGACTGCAACAAGCTTCAGATGTTGTGGGTGTGTCCTGGGTCTCATTATCGAGGTACTGATTTCTAAAACAATAACGTCATGACGTGCAGGAATGACTAACACTGGATGACTGGGGTAATGCCAGCACTGCGCTGTCGGGTGGATCGAGTGACTAGGCGTTGGGAACCTAGTCCAACTGAGACTCTGGAAAGCTGTCTTCAGCAGTGCATTCAGCAAGCTACCTCGAAGCGAGCTATTCGGGCTACATCAGATGACGAACCCCAAAAAATATTCAGAGTGAAACAGGGATAATCTCTGCTGCCCAGTATCGGATATGATATCCCCGGCCTGCACCCTATGCATTCTTGATTGGCTGATGGCGCTCGTGTGGTGTTCGCACGAGGTATGGTGCTTTAGCTTAACCTGCCTTGCAGTGGGAGCTGTTTACGGGCGCAGGCATGCTGCGTTTCACCATCGGGTGCCGCGGTATCTCGTTTCAACGCCAGTACCGTGGTAATTCGCTTGAGCCAGAGAACGAAATCCCGGGAATCTCGATTTTCGGCACATATTCAGCAACATGCAGACATGTGTGCACGAGCGTGTTGGTAAGTAGCCGTGACCGCGAAAGAGCAAGACACAGACTAAAAGAAAGAGGGTAAGGGTGCTCGAAATACCATCATCAGACACACCGTCGTCCATTTGTTCAGAAACCAGAAATGCGGTATATACATTTTTTTTTCACCCATGAAAAGTGTATGCTGACACAAGTGTGCGTGACTAGGACGATTTATCGCGAGCCCTTCAATGTGAAAGGTGATGTTAGCATTCCATCGTTTGATTTTACGGTGGTACAATCCAGCACCGTACTGGCTGCTGCAATGCGCTGTCGAATGCCCAGAGCATGCGACTGCTGGGCGTCCTCGCACTTAACAAAAATCTGATCAGTGCGCACACGGGGCGCGCATTTTGCTGTCAACACATCCAAACAGCGCACTGCAAGGCTACGGTTGGCCTTACGCCCCTGTCAGACGGACTTCCAAACTGCTTTAGAGGAAAGGACCGCCAAAGCAGGAGGATGACCTGCCACACTGTAATAAATGTATACTACGCCTATGAGGTCATTTTTGAGAAAGGAGCTTGCTAACGGCCTTTACGAAAAAGAGTACTGTCGACAATAGGCACTAACGGCATTGCTAGTATATAAGCAATATGCATCTGTATAGATAACGCGCACCAACTCCGAGAAGATGCATATTTTCTTTTTCTTTAATGTTTTTTAGGTCTTCAGAAACAGGAGGAATTTTAGTATATTCTCATCAAGGCTCCCAGTGTTACGTTTTCGTATGTTATGCAATTAAATCTACATTATGAGAGAAGGCTTCCACTCTCGTATTTTAATTATACGCGCTTTTTTTTAATTGTTAGTAGGATTAAGATTACAAACCCATCATATTTTAAACGGTTATAAAACTGTTTTGGTTTCTTGAACGCAAAGGGGCAACAACGGACAAACAGAAAACACGACAGAAACGAGTCCATATGTGCATGCCGTGTTTACTGTTTGTCAGTTGTATCCCCTTTGCGTTCCAGAAACAAAAACAAAAAAAAAATTCTAATCCACATGCTCTCCTGCTTTTATCTATAAAATTGTGTCGATAAATATCTTCCCTTTAAGTTTCATTTGCTAGCGGTCTCCCGGTCAACATCAGAGGACGGGGCATCTTGTCGGCCGTATGACGCAGCTCTTTTAGCGGAAAGGACATTTACTAACAAGGTCGTTTAGGTTGTCGTCTGACAGGGGCATTTCACAGGCCAATGAGAAGGTAGGGACACAACCACCCGATGGGGACGTCGCGGAGCAGCGGAGCTGGCCTACAAGAGGGCACACATAAAGGCCGCGTCCTGCATCATGTTCTGCAGCGGCAGTTGTGTGTCCATAGGAAGCAGTTCTACGGTAAGCGGCCTCTCGGAGCGTGCCTGCTGGCACTTGCGACAGTCACAGGGCAGCCTGTCTTCAGCGATCGAAGACAGCGTATCGTCGTCGTCCTCATTCACAACCCCGGGGATGGTGGTCGCTGTTCGGTGCGTGCTGCCGTGAACGCTAGGCAGCTGCTGGTCGGCGGTCGACTGTTGCTGCGCTTGCTGCTCTCGCCGCTTGGCCTCCAGGGCGGCCAGGAGATGCGGATTGCACTGGGGGCAGTTGGGGTCCAGCTGGACAGGTTGGGACTTCTTCTTGCCGAACAGCCGGAACTTCTGCGCAAGGTGTTAAGTGGAATATGATGGACATCACTTGTAAGACGCGTGAACGCGTCACTCGCAAGGGAGCTACCATCACAAGAAGCAAGTGTCACAAGCTGGTTCGACCGCATGGTCTTAGGTGAGAGCATCGGGTAATTTTGTGGCATTATGCCTCTTTTTCACTTTGTTCTGGAGGGCGTGAAAGACCTTCTCCGGGCTCAAGACTATAGCTTGCGCGTTGGCACTATTTTTATAACACTACTTAGAATTATTATTGCAACAAACAATGTGTTACAAGGCTGAGAAAAGGGACACGTCTCGCTCGAACGAGACGCATGTGAAGGTCATGTAAGCGATTTATCCCCGTAGGAGCTCTATTGCTGTATCATCTGGGCTCTTGCACGACAAACACGGTGCCCAACTATAGACCCCTTTAAAAAAGTTTGCGCCCACTAGTGACTACTTCGCCAGTCAACCAAATCCGCCATTGCTTGGGCACGCACTCTGACCATCTCTTGGACACGAGGGGTGCCTTAGCGTTTGCGTGAACTCGGCTGAGCTCGTCAGGAGAACGAGCGCTGCGAAAGCATTCGGCGAGGACTCGGGTCCAATCACGTGCTTCGTGCCCCAGAAATAGCGAGCGCCAGAGTTGCTTGGTCGGGTTTTGAACATTTTTTTTCCATTCCACAAACAAAGTTCAACGCACACGTCATTTGGTATGTTGGTTTCGCGCTTCCATTCTCACTTTATTTCGAACATTGTCATTTCGCACGTGCCTACACGTGCGAAATAACAAGTCGACCAGATGTAGTTAGCCAATTTGGCGACAGAAAACAGGAATCTACAATCGGTCGAAGATAAATATGTGGAAGAAAGATGCTGCCCCGTCCCCCGCTGCGGAGAAGAGCGGAACCAAGATCCCTTTTACCCTAAAGCTCCAAACGCACTAAATAGTCTGTAAACGACGTGAAAGCTTTGGAACGCTCCGGACCTGGAGAATAGCTGGAGAGAGGAAGCAGCTTTCAAGGATAAGAGCTTGCGCTTCCAACCTGTTCTGTGCTATGTTTCAGCGTGCATGTCTGGTCTTCCCTCGTAACCAGCGAACAAGTAATGACCACATGGCCCATAGCTTAGAGTGTACGTGTTCTCACAGATCTGACGAAATCCAAGGCCAATCATATATAAACATTTTCACCATATTCATCTGTTCAACAAAACTCCGATCGACGGAATCCTGGCTCCAAATGAATGATTTCTTGTCGAATTATTTCCATCTCTAAGCATCACCTTGATGTGCGTCGTTACAATAAAGAGACAATTGCAATGATTTGGCGCAAGGAGATCACCCCATCCAATGACGAAAAGCTGGTTACGACAAATCACACGTTTTTATTAGAGAATATATAGATGGGAGGTAATTACATTCAGAATCGCGGACCTATGAATCCAGAGTTTGCAAATCCGAGCTTTCGGAACCAAAATACTCAAGAAAACTAAGTGTAGACGACACCAAAATAGCACAAACATAGCTTTAAATACTACTGATTAATTTCTTATCGACGTGCTAATTTTGTTTAGAGGAAGAAGTTTTTTTTATTCCGAACTTTAAAAATACGTGTAATACATCAGCACTGGCAGGCCCCCGCGGTGTGGGTCGCCAATATGGTGATCTATTACTGGATTACACATTAATATGAGCCCTTCCCTAATGAGCAGAAAAATGTTTTGATATGATGTGTCCATTAAACATATCAGAACTTATACAACGTACAAGTGGTATACAAGATTTTATACCATCTTGTGTGTTCTTGTATGTTTTTGAACATATTTATATAATGTTCTTCACTAGTTTGCTTTGTTTAATTGCTACATTGTAGTTTTTTTACACGCACTAATTGGCAGAAAAAAGGATAATATCCTCCAACTCAAGAATTTTAGGGACAAGAGTCTCGTGCGCCACGAAAAAGAGGTGCGTCGTATTTGGTGTTAATTGTCCGTTAAAGTTGCAACAAGGCGGGTTGAGACACTTGTGCGCGAAAAAAACCGAGCGAATACGAACGAAACGCGAGAAGAAAAGGGTAAACTATAGCATGAATACGGCTTCAAAAAACTCTCCGGCTTCTGTATCCTCTTCTTGTACAACGCAAGATTGGAGCGTTATACGAACTTCGCAAGATCGATAAAGGAGCGAATACAAACAGTTGCAGGATTATTTGGAAGTGAAAGCTTTATATAAATATTTTATTTTGCTGACTTTTTTTTTCGGCAAATAAAGCAGGTTTCCAAAGTCGACGAGAGGAAATGTGAAGGAACTCCCGCTTCGGTATGCAAACATATGGGCACATTTTGTGTGCTCAAGCCGCACTGAAAATGAATAAGGCGGCGATTTCATTGGACTGTACGTACCTTCGTGCGTATTGACAGACGAAATCTACGAACATATACAACAAACCGGTGAGAGTGTCGTGCAAATCTGAACAATGAGGAACAGTGGAATGATATTGGGCTCCCTGCACGTGGATGTAGAAGCATATTATTGATTCGAGAGCAATAGGATTATTCGCAGCGGTTACGTACCGCGGATTTGGGAGAGATTACTTTTAAAATCTGTTGTTGACGCCAAGGCAGCACGTCCTGGTCCCCATTTCATTATTACCGTAGGCAGACGAAGAGTTTTGATATCAAAGAGATTGGATGAGTGGGCGCTATTAATCCTACTGATATCATACACTCCTGTGACAAATGCCTTCCAAGAAACAAGAGCAGAAATGCAACCCGAATGCATGCTGTATCACATCCGATGCCCGTTTTGTGTCACCTGTCTCTAAAATACCCCCCCAGATGGAGCCATCTGGTTTCCCGGCACTCAGACGCACGGTTTGCTGACATCGTCAACGATGGAGGGGGAAGCCCAGCGTCCAGGCAGCGCTCCTAACTTCCAGGCTGTGCATCCCTGATGTTTGAAAACTGCTAACAATTTGCGTTGTGCTCGAACAAAGGCCAAAACTGATTTCGCCGTATCAATAACTCATGAGGCACCAATGCATCCTGTATCAGATATAATACACAGATTATTTCTTTGTTTTTGGGTCAAAAATTTAATAAACTTTTTTAAATCATTTTTAGAATCATGTGTTATAATAGCAAGCATTCCTAAATAATTTCGTGTAAAAATACGCAATGTAAACTTAACGCTCCCCCTTTATTATATTTATTTTATGCTCCAGCCCCAACCACACACACACACACAAACACGCACGCACGCACACGCACGCACAGTGGTGATGTGGACTTTGGGGAGTGACCGCGAAGTGGAGAGTAGTTGGTGGACTTAAACCGAACAACAAGGGAGATGTGTGAGTGAAGGCACGAGACCAAGAGAATGAAATGACACCGGCGGATTAGCCAGCTGAGGCACGATTCCGGACAGTCGTTAAGGGCTGTAGGGACGACGCTCAGGCAGGTCAAGATCACCGTTACTGCCACAGAGACACCAGCAAAAGCATGGACATGATGGCTGCGCCCAAGGAGCCTTCTAAATATATTTTCTTTTGCCAGTCAGGCTCTTCTTGTTTCACATACACTGTTTCCAGAATTCGGACTCCTCAACATTTACCATCCTCCTCCCAATTCTGGCATCCGCGACAGGACACTCTCTAACATCCAGAGAGGTGAACTCTAAGGCGAGGTTGTGTGGACATGGAGCTAGAGAAGGTAATTAATTGCCTTAGGAAATGACTAGAGACTTCAGAATGCAAGTCGTAAGGAATGGCTGGCAAGACGTCTAAAGTTTTCCAAAGGTGAGCTGTAGGAAGTCCAAGAGTGGTACAAAGTCGAGCGCGAGCGGCCTCTTATAACTTGTAGGGCAGAGGAGAAACCACTAGAAGTTGAAATGGAAGTAGGGGGAGCCACAGACGTTGCAAAGCTTGAGAAACAGTGCAGGGAACTGCAAAGAACGATTAGGCGAAATTCAAGAGGACCAGGATAGGTCAAGCTACGGATGAGATGGGAATGAAAGGGATTGCAGGACTCGCAGCTATATAGAAAAAGAAATCAAGGGAAAACAAGGAGGGATCACTGATCCAGTGATCCCTCCTTGGACCAGTGATCTTTGCCATGGAAAAAAAGCTAGAGTGTCAGGAAACTGAAAGGTGCCTTCTAGAGAAAGAGAAAGAGGTAATGACGGATGGAAAAGTAAGGGAAAGGCTATGTTGGTGGCCAGTTGTGATTTTCAAGAGATGGCAAGTCATAGAAGCCCAGAAGGTAGCGGCGGCACGCACGCCGGTGTAAAGATGAAGACGCGTAGAAGGAACAAAGTCGCTGGAAGTAGATCTGTAACGAAAACAAGTTTACTGAGAAACTTGTTCAACAACATTATGAACGGAAAACTACGACGAAGAGGTGGCTCCCAGCGTAGCCGGTATCTGAGAAAGAGCCGAGTCTTTCACAACGCAGCTCTTATGAAGCGGTCCTAATTGGCCCAGCCATATTGTACGGCAAGCACAACGAACAATTGATCATAGCGCCCACATGGTCAAGTCCTCAGCGCTAAGAAGTTAGAGATTATATGCTCAACGCCACAGCGGAAAGCCTGTTTGCGTCAAGAGGAGCATCCTTTGAAGACGCAGCCTGTTGACAAGGACGTACAGAGCTTCAAAGACAGGGTGCACAGGTCGAGAAGCGAAGTGCCTGTTGCTGTTGATCCGATGCAGCGTCAGCAGGACAGTCATAAACACGACCATGAATCACTTGATGTGGAAAGGCCTTCGATGTGCCATGCGTGTTATTTTTGGTTGAGTGTTATTTTTGGTTTTTGGTTGTGCGAATATTCGAAATTTCGAATAGTATCTCCGAATAATACAGTATTTGATATTCGCTTCGAAAAGAACTGCACTATTCGCGTTTTTCGAAACGTTGATTGCGCCGGGTTAGCCCCGTTAAGTGCGCTTCTTACCAAGCACCAGTGCGCTGCGGAGAAGCAAAACCCGCGGAAGTGAGCTCCGCGGGTGTTGCTT